CTTTATGATGTTCAGTGCACTATCCATTCCTAAGAGAACTTCAACCTCTTAAAACTTAAGGTGAGAAGAAAATGAGAGACAGAAGGAAAGACAAAGAGACAATTTACAGAGAAAAGCCAGCAATTCTGTAGCCACCACTTTCTTCACCTGTGAAATCTAGGAAGTATGACTTCCATCCTGACCCCACTAGGATTCCTCTTTATCCTAAAGATGCAACATTTATGAAACTGCCACCAAATACAGGGCAAAGGTGAATTTCTTTTACAATGGAGAAGGTCCTGACAAAGTGTATTCCTGTATCTGATGGACATTGGTCACTATTTCTAAACGCAGGACAATTTGACTAGTTCCTTGAATTATCTGAAATGGGGGGGGGGCGTTAAAGAGAATAAATTATTTCAAACTATTAAAAATAAAATACCCTAAAGCAACAACAAAACATTTAAACGTTTTCTTCTCAATTCATACCACCTTTCACCAGAGCAGACCAAAAAAAAAATTAATGGACTATCCATTCCTGCTTTTAAAACTTAAGGTGAGCAGAAAGAAGAACTTGAAAGAGAGACTTAATTGAGAGAAGAAGGAAAGGAGAGTGGGAGGGATGAAGAGCATACAGAAGGTAAGAGGAGGGAAGAAGAGGTCCTTGGTTGTGCCTTAAAAGTTCCTGAAAACAGCAATGCTTTAAAACCATACAATAATGTTTTTAAGCTAGAAATTGCCAGATCCAAGTTGCAGGGGATGGGGCAGATGGACAGAGAAAAATCCTCATGACCTTGCCAGTCCAAACTGAGAGCAACGGACATCTCTCAATCAACCAAAGGTAAAAAATGTGAGACTGCAATAACACATGGTTGATTGGTGAAAGTAATGCAAGGCGGTCATGATGCTGCTTTAGCTATGAGACCTGACCTGTGACCACAGATGTGGTCCCTGGTTTCTCCAATTTTTTCTGAAATAAGAGAAATCACATTTCAAAACTCTGATTGAAAGTGCCCTGTGAACCAAAGACACCTGTGGAAGACACTGCCTCTACAAATGGTTCATAATGCCTTTCAAAAAAAAAAAAAAAAACCAAACCAAAAAAACCCACAAAAACCAGCAACATGTAATTTGAAATGTAAGATATGTTTATTATGCAACAAAAAAAAGGGGGTTATTATCTGGAGTAATGGAGTTATGGGAAAAAAGCACTTTAAATATTCACCTAAATTAGATTGTTAAGGAATCAAAGGAGTATGTCTACTCAGTAAACATACAGCAAAAGACAAATCATTCTATTTCACCCAATGTGGAAATTAGGGGAAAAAAATCATACATTAACAAATCAATATAGAAACCACAATCAATTTACACAAACTTGGAAGCTGAACTCTGGTAAAGGGAGGAGTAAAAGTTATTAATTACTGACCTCTTAACCAAATCCCAAGGAGTTGTGGTGGCCTAAATCTAAAGAACCATTCTGCCAATGCAAAGGTTCGTGATTAAAGTCCACCGCTGCTCCACAGAAGGATGGGCAATTTCTCATGCAATTTACTTACTGCCTCTAAAAACCCACTGAAGGGTCAGCTATGGGTTGGTTCCAACCGGATGGGACTCAACAACAACAGCAACAAACCAAATCCCAAGAGCTCAGGTGGCCTAGTGGTAAGAAATGCACTGCCATCCCAAAGGCACACAGTTTGAATCCTCCAGCTACCTGCTCCACAGAAGAAGTCTGGGCCATCTTCTTCCATGCAATTTACTGCCTTTGAAAACCTACTGGAGGATCAGCTGTGTGTCGGCTCCAACTCGATGGTACAGAACAACAACAACAACAAACCAAATCCAAAGGAGCCACCAGCACAAAGTTAACATGTTAAACCGCTAACTGAAAGATTGATAGTTTGACTCTACCAGTCAATTTGATCCACAGGGATAAAGGTAGGCATCTCCTCTCCTGGCGAGATACAGCCTCGGAAACTCCATGGAGGGGAGTATGAATCTGAAGTGACTCCACAGCTGTTGTTGTTGTTAGCAGTGGGCACCAAATTCCAAACAGTAGTCCCTGGAATTTACCGGGCTTCCCCGAAAATGTCAACCATTTTTAGCCATGTTTTTAAAAAGCTCTGTTAGACAACTTAAGTACAGTACTACCATAGAACATTAATATTAATCTGCCATTTCAAAACTAGTAATTGAGTGCACTGATATTAGAATCCATTGAGGTCATGTTTTGGGGACTGGTAGTTGTATATCCTTCACCTCGTTCTTATCACTAACTTTAGAGACAGCAATGTAACCAGAACTCTCTTGCAAATTTTAGAATATGTGGTCATGGCAGTCTCCACTGGGAAGATGAAGATCCAATTATGTTTCACCTTAACAATTTAAACCTTAAATGTTTAAATAAAAACTATAAGAAATATTAATATAATCTGTATTATAATCTGCTGATTTGGTACATTTAGGGCTACTTGTTCCTCGAAAATTTAGATTAATTCTACCCTGAACCAGGGTTAGACAAAGCAATTATTTTGTTATTCATAATTTATAAAATTATGTTCTGAGCTACAAAAGGGAAATGAATTAACCCTATTTCTCTCACTTATTTTTTTTCCCCATTAACACTTCTATAGTACTTTTATATGCTTGGCATAGACAAAATTTCTGAAATTACAAATAATTTTCATGAAATACTAAACTTTTAAGTATGTGAAGTAATCACTTATATGACAATTATAGCCTCTTACAATGTTAACTGAGACGAAAGCATTTATTTTCATTTAATCTTTAATTTAAAACATGAAAACATGTTAAAACGTGCTAAAAGATGACTAAATATCTCTCCAATTCCAACTACTGGGTTTTTAAAAATGTAAATGATGTACTTTTTACTAGGTTTATTCAATAAAAGTACAAAAATGCAAAAATTAAAGAGGTAAAACATATCTAGCACAAAATGTACATTTATCCCTGGCTTATTTTTAGCTAGACTGTATCACCTGGTCAAGAATGTTTGTGGGTTTCAACTTGTGACATCTTTCTGGCATACCCAAATTGCAGACTGCAGCTCCAGTCAATGTCGTTAGGACAGAGAAACATATATGGGAAAATTAAAATATTATTCAAATCTTTTATTGTGGATTTTATTCTTTGTCATTCTAAAAGTAGTATATCATGAAAAACTAAAAACATTAGAAATGATGCCCACTTTTAAGATGAAAGGGGGAAAAGTGTTAAATTGTTAAATGATATTAACAGGTTGAGTTTGGACAATCTCCCTTCCAAAGAATATGACTGCTTTGATAAGAATATAGATTAACTATTATTATGCTTTAGTTAAATATCAAATGCTACTTTCAATCATATATCCTATTAAAGAAAATCTATACTATCTCTTTTAAATCCATTCCTCAGACTAAAAACACATATTACTACAATGAATAGGCATGTTCTTATATTTTATTATTGTTTCATTATTATAACTTTATACAAATTAAAATATAAGTAAAACAAAGATAATTCTTATAAATACTAGACAACTCAAATCAATAATGATCATCTTTCTCATCTAACCAGGACAGAAAATAATCGATGTATAATCTATTCCAAAGAGAAAACTTTCCCTTTACTTACATAAGGGAGGGAAGGAGAAAAGAAAGCATGCATGAATTCTGACAATATCCAGAATTTCAAATAATCATACCAAAGTAAAAGTTTATCCTAAATCTTGTGAATCTTTTTCTATGCTAACAGATTTGTAGTTGGTGTGTCTATTAGGGTTTATTTTCTCATCACATTTGGAAAACGTTTACAAAGGAAAAAAATCAACTTGACTTGAAATTTGTTTTTTAAACAATCTCTTTCCTACTTCCAGGATGGCTCACGTACTTCTTCCAAGTTAGAATGTTTGCTAAAATAGTAAACTTTAAATGGTGAAAGACGTTTTCAGGAATCATTAGCACATAAAGTTCACACAGTTTAATGAACAGTGCTGAGATTCTTCAGAACAAATCAATAAAGTAATAAAATGGGGGGGGGAATCACAGATAAGAGGATACTCTCTTTCCTTTTAACTTGCTGTGATCCTTCAATACTTAGAAGTCAGAATGCTCATTCTTCACAAAGGAGCATCTCTCTATGTGATGCTGGAGGATGCATGTATGAGATTGGATCCTATTCTTAGACTTGTTACAACCTCTCCTGTAATTAGGAAGCTATATATCCCTACTATAATGATGCTAACAAGCTCCTGCAGTCTCCACTCTAGCACAAAATCAAAGAGACCGAAAGCCGACCATTTAGTCCAGTGAAAGAATGGTGCTGGCTGGTTAATACAGCAGAAGGCTGTTCTACAGTTTTGTATCTGAAGGGACTTTCTGAAAGGATGAGATTCTACAGCCAAGTCTGTATATTAAAGAAAAAAATCAGAGAAATGACATTTTAGTATATTTAAAAAGAAATACACACAAATTATTGGAAGAGGACCATTTCAGATAACTTTGCTGTTTTGAATTTTCCCAAAGAAAAGGTGAAAAGATGTTGTTATAGCAAATACCTACCTGTGATTTCCCATGGAACAGTGACATTCTTCTAAAACTTAATGAGAGTTAACTATAGAACTTACGGATAGTTTTTATCTTTTTTTTTTTAACAGTCATGCAGAAACCACTGATCTTGGCATCTGCAAATGTGAATCAATGGGTCAAAAAATCCACCTACACATTCAGATAAATACACTTAAAAATCAAAACCCACATCCCTGCTGTCCATCAGATTCCCACTCCCCCCCAATCCTATAGCACTGAGGAGAACTATGCTATGGGTTTCCAAGGCTTTCCTCATCAAGGAAACAGAAGTCACATCAGTCTCCCCATATAGTGGCTTGGGATTCAAACTCCCAACCTTCCAGTTAATGCTTTAATAACTGCAGCACTAGCACTCCTGCAAGTAAGTGAAACACCTAGAAAATGAAAAACATTTGGGGAGGGAGGGTTGGTTAACAAGTGACAGGCACGTACCTTAAGGACTTCCATGGGCACCTGGGTGGCAGAGGGAAGGGTGCTAGGCACGCTCACGTTGATGGCTGGTGTCTGGCTCACAGGCCCTCTCTGCTGCATGAACTGGGCAGCCTGCAGCTTCTGCTGCTGCTCCCTGCGCTCCTGCTCCTGCATCTGCTCACGCATGAGTTGCTGGCGTAGCAAGATACGTGATGTCATGCTGGAGGAGCTTATCGGAGGCTTGGAGGCCCCAGGACGCTCCGCAGAACTGCTGTGGGGAACCAAGACACACAGCATTTAGTTTCCTAATGAGACATTTTTGGGGGTATCCTAAATTGCACCAAACTATGAAATGAGTCTGTACATATATAATCAAGTCACAGAGCGGTGCTCCATATACTTGAAAATCAAGAGGTTGACAGGATTTAAGTCATTAGTAGTTGAATCAAAATAAGTTAGCTTGATTACATTTAGGCATTTTTATCATGCAGCTTAAACTTTTTTTTTTTTACATTTTATACTGCACACAGTATCACACATCACCACCAAATATAGTCCCTCCATATGTAGAGCCAAGAACCAATGCATCTTAATAGCACCCAAATTTCCATGTTTAAAAATACAGAGCTTGATGTTAAAAGTGCAGGGATGATTTGGAAAAGAAGCATGAGAACAGCCACACAACCAGCACAATGTCATCACCATCACTCACTCGGACGCGAGAGCCCATGTTTGGCTATGCATGTGTCACCACACAGGAGGTTCCCCCCCGTAAAAAGTGGTCTGATTTGCTTTATAAAATAACTGAATGGAGTCAGGTGAGTACTTCTACAAATCATTTAACATTTCTTGGAGATATTTTAGATGTTCAGAGATAACAACAAATGGAAAGAAAAGGTGAAAATTATGTGGAAAATGGAGACAATTATCTCAGTTACAGAAGTGAGAATTATTAATCAAAGCAGCATTTGGAACACTCAACACTGAACCCCATCTCAGTCTGTAGAGTTGGCCTGACAACTCAGTTTGTCTGTGGCCGACTTTGTCGTGCTATCTATTGGATTAATACAGCATACCTTCCACTACATATGCTCAGTCCCTTTATATGTACTACTCTCAATGATTATCTTGATACTTATTCTACTTCTCAATTTTGTAAAACATTTTCGCAACTGGATGCCACTGTGTCAGCTTCCACTCCAGGCAAGTTCATGGCAGTGAGTAGAACTAAGTTCAGAGAATTTTCAAAGCTCTGACTTTTCAGAAGCAGATCAACAAGCCTGTCTTTCATGGTACCTATAGGTGCTTTGAATTGCTAAACTTTCAGCTAGTAATCAAATAAACAACCAGCTGTGCCACCTGAGAACTCCTACTAAAATAGTAGCTATGAGTTAAAAAAAAAAATACCCTACTATTCCTAAATATAATTTTCAATGCTTATCTTGCCAGCTCTACGCCACCAAGAAGTTAATAAACTTCTCTCTGCCTCAGTTACTGCACCCAGCATAGAAGAATACCAAACTTTGTGGGGCTTTTATTACTCAAACTTATTATATTTATATAATTATAAATTCACATACAGAAAGAGGCCACCTACCAATTTCTTTTGGGAGATATAAAAGTTGGAGGGGAGTTTTTAAAGGTATATATTTTGATATATTTGAAGATTCATGTGCAATTTTAAGAAACCACAAAAAGGTTTCATGCATCCTTCAACCAATTTCTGCCACAGTAACATCTTGTAAAACTTTACTATTGATTACAGCTAGGGCATGCTATTGGGATACAGTCAATATATAGTTAACAATAGTTCCCTACACATTTACTCCTTCAAAAAGTAAAAGAAATTTTAAAAATGTTATTGTGTCAATTACATTGTAAAGCTCTCTAATAATTTTTTTAAGATTAAATAAGGTACAAACTGATACAAAAACGATGAGCCTCAACAAATATTTGCTGCTGCCCATACTGTCATCTAGAAATTACAAATGCTTATTTATTATGAGTAATATTTCTTTAAATGAAAAGATCTCTTTTAGGAACTGTGTAAAATCTTAAAACAGAAACGGAAGAAACAAATTTTAGAAAAATATTTACTCTTAGGTGAGACACCTCTGAAGGATAGAATTTGTACTCCTAACTTTTCTTGAGTATAATGCTGGCTTTACCTTTTGCCCAGGAAAAAAAAGTAAAGACTTTCATTCAGCTGACCAATTAAAAGGAGCTTCCAAATTCAGCAGTTAATAAAGGGTGTTACTAACACATACAGAAATGTTTTATTTTATCCCACAAATAATTCTATACAAAGTATATAATAAAAATTACATTGCCAATTTACTTATTTTCACCATAGAAAACAGACTCAGTAAATCTGGCAAGTTCATATAACAACAGAAATTTTTAATGTATATAAAATTTTAAATCAAGATAATAAAGAAAAAAATAAAATGTAAAATGGTATTCAAGGTCAGATATAATTTCTAAATATGTTTCATATAATTTAAAACACAGCACCATTTCTGATTTATTGTAATATTGAAAAAACAACTGAGTAGTAGTATTGAAAACAATTTACTTTTACAATATAATTCAGAAATAGTCTTCCATAAAATGAAAATCTGGGAAAATTGACATTGCATATTTCATGGCTATTTTCATATTTCCAAATATTCTGGACAACTTAAATTTTCTCTATAATAAAAGTAAATGTTACATGGATTTGCTACAATGCCACCATTTTGAAAGCGGCACACTGCAGGGCAAAAGGAGAAATGCCTGTTATAAGAATAAACTTAAAAGCGGGATTCAAAAGTGTATTTATACTCCAATTAAAATAAGTAACTTGTGTGTATACAGGCAGTTATACACACATAACTGTCAGGCTGTATGTAAAGATGGCAACAGATCTCAGAGCAGGAGTGGGGTCACAGGGTCATTTTGTTCTCTTGGTTTTTACTGAAGCCAATTTTACTTGTAGAAACTCTTTAAAAGGCTCCTGGTTCAAACCCACCAAGTACTCTGAAGGAGAAAGATGGGCAATATCTTCCTACCTAATCTGCAACCACTGAAATCTCAAGAGTCAGCTAGGAGTTGGTTCTAATTTGACGGTAACAGCAATAATTTAATAAAGAAAGGCATCATAGTCCTCTCGCCCCAATGGCAGGATATCTATCACTAGAAATTAAGATCCCGAAGAAATAAGCAGGGTCATAAAGAAATCACCATTTGGTTACAATTTTAAAGTGACTGGATTCAATACACACAGGGTGATGACAATGTAAAGGGAAAGTGTACCTGAGACAGCACACAGCTGTCTTCCTTTACCATCTGCTACTGTCTCTAGCTTACAGCTAGAACACACAGGAGAGAGTTAGGATCCTGCGTAACACTTCAATACAGTAAATTTATGTGCACTATAAGAATACTACACCATTACTCAAAACAATCTAGTCACCTGATGCTCCTAAGAGAGCATCAAAAGAAAACACATTTTTCCCATTTTTGAGTGTGTGTCAAAGCTTAAACATACTTTCCTAAATCAAGAAATGGGGGAGGGGGATGGAAAGGTGATATGCTATTGAAAAATTAAAAATAAATAAATAAATAAATAAGTTGTCTTCCTATTCAAAGCCTGTCAGGTCAGAATACTCCCATAGAGCCTGATCCTTTTGATAAAACCAGGAGCGAAGCTTTGTGCTGCAGCAAATGCAGCTGTGGAATAATCGCACTAATTAGCTGCTCCAGACAAGTAATTGGCTTGATACTGGGAGGAAAGTCCTTTCAATTAATAGTGAAGCATTCTTAAGACATTTAAATTAAAATTACTAGTTATCATCTACACCAAAGTTGCAGACTTTAAAATCGACAACAATATCATTCTCACCATATTCTGATATATGTATCAGAAAATTAAATGGAAAAAATGTTTTCCCAAGTACCACTAGAAATACACTGAAAGTCCACTGGAAGAAAAAAAAAAAACAAAACTGTCATAAAATCCAGTCAAAAATAAGGTCAGTTAATTGACATTATTTTAATAATTTTTTAAAGGTGCCAAAGAAGTTACAGTCACGTCAGGGCACAAACTCCCTGCAGGACATTGCCACGTTGTTAAAAGATGACTCTCAGATTATCAGCTTTGCCCGCCTTCTATTAAGCATTCCTGACTCTGAGACATAACTGAAATCGCAAATACCATATTAGAGACAAATGATAATGAAGATGCTTGCATCTCACAATGTTAACAGTACATCAGCATCAAGTTTTACCCTGAAAGCCGATGTTACTATGAGAACACTAATAGTAACTACAATGCATATATTTTATGTTTTAACCAGGATGCTCAGGCTAGTAATGATAAGAAAAGAGCTTTGCCCAAATTTACTTAATTCCAAAAGCTGCCAAAGCTCAATCTTCCCTAATTAGATAATCCTAATTCCGTGAGTCTGATTCATTTTAATCATATTATTTAGAGGTCATTTATTAAACAAAACAGTTATTGTTTCCTCTGTGCCAGGTGCTGGGAATACCTGGTTTCTAATCGCAAACAGCTTAAAGTTCTATTACATATTTTTATCTGAAATGCCTTAAAATTAAGTCAGTTACTGAGATTACATCAGTCCCTGAGAGCTCACTCACTGGAGAAGAGACAAATGGGAGTGAATGGAACAGTTGAAGCCAGAGAGACAACTTTGGAGACAGCCAGGGTCATTCAATGGTCTGTCAGATCAAGTCAGGATAAGTCTTAAAACTAGCTTAATCCAGTTTGAACCAGGCCAGATTGGCTTGATGCTATATGGACTAGTTCAAACCAGTGTGGACTGACATGACATGGTTTGAGTCAGTGTGAACTAGTTTGAACTGTCTTGAACTGGTCTGGGACTGTGTGACCAGGCTGAATCAGATATGGTCCTGCCTGGACCAGCTAGATCTAGTTTGAACCATTCTGGCCTGGTGTGATTCAGTTTGAACCAGTGTGGGCCAGTTTGACCAGGCTCAATCTTGTATAAACTGGTCTGAACCAGCTGGAACAGTGTAAAAATAATGGGTACCCACTAAATGTGAACTAAGCCCCAACCTTATTGCCAACTTGGCATTTTCCAGTCAAACTTCAAAGCCCTCTACAAAGGTACAGTAGATGAACATGTGCTCTCTTGAGTCAGCTGTATTGCTATATAAAAAAATATATTCCATTGATTGAGGCCCACATACACAGCAAATCTTGCACAAGTCAGAATCTGTGTGAGTTATAAACTTGTCATAAGAAAAAAA